AATAGCTCACACTAACCATCTGACCATACTTAAAAGACTTTAATGGGCCTGTGCAATGCACTACACACAATCAAAAACACTTATATCATAAAATCACCACGCAACCCCAATTTTTATAAAATATAAAAGGGGAGGAAATGTTGCACAAAATCATCAATTTCATTCCAAATCTTTCAAAATACATATGTTTCTACTTCCACAAGTATTTTGGCCCTATCCACAGGTTTACCACTAAAACTTACTAACCTAGGGCACAAAATACACTAATAGACAAAATCATACAAGTAGTGCATAAATCATGACAAATGATCCTAGTTGGCAATTACATCAACAAATACACATGAAAGTAACACAAGTGAGGAATATAAAGGATTACTCCACAATCTTAGGCCTCTCTATGTTTTTCCCGACTCGAATTCGATGAACTAGGTCCTTAAAATATTGATAATTGAGGGGTGAGTACAACTACTTAATAACCAAGTTTCACTTAACCCATACAGTTGCATATCAATCATAAATAGATGCAATTAGGCAAAAACACAAGTATCACATATAACACTTGGCCACAGATCACAAAACTAACAACCATATGATCGGGCTTGCCACAATACACTTATCATGTTAATTCATAAAACATAACATAAGGTTGTAAGAATAACAACCATGCACCCTCAACACATGCCGAACCACAAAAACTAACAACCATGTGGCCAGACTTACATGCATGATCATATGCTAACTTTATATCCTCCTGTTACCTTTGACATGAAATTGGTGACTATCACGTGGCTACGTCCTTCAAGGACTAACCCAACCTTCTACTTGTGAGGAGTTACCAAGCTAGGGTGAACTCACTCACTTATGTAATCTGGTTTCCCCCAATACTAATAACCATGGGGTGTCGTACCCCTAATCTAGCCTCCTCATAAACTGGTGGAGACTAGTTAAGTTCGAGTCCCTCATAGAACAAGTGGGATAATCTCAAATCAACCATGGGACAAGGGCTATCTCTCGATTCTAGCGGTTGGTACCAAGGCTAGTTCCTGATTCCAATGATCATTGCCAGTATCATGTGGATTTAAATCAATCTATTCTTCTCCCTAGGCAAACTCCCGCCAATGATCATGTTATGCATATTTATCATATATTATGCATTTCAATAATTAATTCATGGCAATTAATCTCATATAACCATATTCAATTTCTCTACATAATTCACATGATACATCACAATTCTCCACCCATAATAACAAATCACAATCAATTTCGTAAAACACAAAGGGTAGCATAATCAAGGTTTTCTTTTCAAAAACCGTTTCGCAAATTAAACATTTTCCAATATGCATCATTAATTTAAATCATAATTCACATTTCACAAATACAATTAACATTCAACTATAAAGATTAAGTTTTCCTCGGTTATCTCAAACCTTTAAAAGGTCAAAGGTTTATCCTTTACTATACCAACTTCCCAAGCTTCTTGCAAGCTTGAATGGTGCCAAAAATAAACCTCACTACATCCATACAATAAGAATATCATTATTGCCTAACTCTTGAAAATTTATCAACACATAACTCCACACGCTCTATTTTATCAATCCATAGTCACTACCCATTCGTACCTAATAGGCTCATTAGGTTCTATTAATGCACATTATCACTAATAATACCTCAAATCATCATTAATGTACATAAACATCTTCCAACTACCATATCTATGTTAATTTTTGGATATTAAATGCTCCATGGATCAACCACTTCCAAAATCATTAATGTGGTGTTCCAATACATTAAACAACTCCTATTATACTCCTTTTAACTAATGAAATCGGACTCATACTCCTATGGATCGAAAATCCATCTTTCAACTCAAACCTTGCCATAATTTCATCATAAATGAGGGAGAGAAAGGAAGAATAAGGCTAAGGTTACTTACCTTAGGTGTTTTAGAGCTTCAATCTAGCCTCAATGTGATCTTACAATGTGCCTTAGCATAGCAAAAGAAGAGCTCTTTAGTTTCTCCTTCCTCTTTTCTATTTTTCTCATGCTGATATGAATATGATATATTAGATTTTTGGTCGTGTGCCGCGGCATATGGCACAAAGGAGCCCATTGTATTCAAATTCATCTCTGTACACCGCGGTAGATTGACCATACATTGCAACATGTGGCATAGAGGATAATTCTTCACTTTTTCTTCCTCTTTCCTTGCCCTGGTGACCTGGTATTGATCTAGAACCACTTCTAAGGCTAACATCACAACAATTATACCAAATTAAGCCCCTTTAGCCACACACCTCATTAACTTACTAATTACCCTCATTAGGTTAATAAACAAGGATTAAATTTTCCCAGATGTTACATGTTTTATCTTGTGCAAGAATTCCAAGAGCTTGGAAAACATTGGGGTACTCCTCTTAAGCTAAAGGAGAGCCTTTAAGAGTGTATAATGTGCTTAAGATTCAAATTCATGAAGAGTCAAGCCCAAGAAATGAAAACCCTAGCCCAATGCAAGGAATACTACAAATTGAGTCTCTTGCAAGCAAGGAGGCATGAAACACAAGTGAAGAAGTCAAGGGTGGTGTAATTTTAAATACTTTATGATCCCTTGATTGTCTCATAAATTGTTTTCTATTTTAATGGTCATTTAACTTGACTCTCTTTTTTAAGGAGTAAGACTAGTCATAATTTTCTATTCTGAGTCTAGTTAAAGATTAAGATTAATTACATTATTTTAATTTTTAAGTTTTGTAATCCCATAATTTTAAGATCACATCTCTTAAATTATGTGACTAAATATTTATTTTATATTATTTTCTTTCTTCTTTTAATATTAGGAAATTAAGGTTTTAATTTTAAAAAATAGTCTTCTCTATGAGCCCATATATATTAGGCATGCTCCCTATTTTAAATGAAAGAAAAGTTGAATAAAATTATTCATTTTAGAGTTTATAACTTTTGTGAGCCTTCGTGCTTTGTGGTGGCATCCTGTTTGAGAAACAGACGTGATCAAAAGCATGATCAACTTTTATGGTGTCTTCAAAAGTTAAGGTTTCTAGAGGTAGGCATTCTAGAGGATCTTATCCTTGATCATTATTCTGTTGTTTATTTTCTTTTTTCTTTATTTTCATCATAAATTTGATCCCCTTCTTTTTATTCTTGTGTTTTTATTGTATTTCAGAGTTTTGTTCCTAAACTAGCATGATTCTGCTTCTACATCCCCTATTACAAATACTTAACTACCATGATAGCATACCTTCTATTTGTGTAAGCTCTCACTTAGCCAATTTTAATGTTAAGCCATTTATTTTAATTAAGAAAGCCTAAAATGCACAAAAATTCTGTTTATTTTGTAATTATCAAAACTAGGGTTCAATAGCTTTTAACTTCTTCATAACTCACCCTTTAGTTATCCATCTTCTAAGTACAGCACTATTTTCATAAATGATATTTCTACCTACACTTTTAAATGCCCCCCTTAAATGGAAGATGTAGTATAGTTGGTTCCTAAAACAACTATTCATTTATCATGAGTCTCTGTACATGTACACATTGAGATTTAATTACTTAGCAACACATTATAATTAAACATTGGCATATCTACAACAATAACATGCAAATGAACTTCAACATTACATAGATTGACAACTCATACCATTGTCAATTTATAAGTTAACAACTAGAGTAGCCTAATTTATAACAACAATAGGAAATTGAACAACAAAAGAAACTTAAGTAAAAAAAAGGTCATAAGGACAATAAATAGAATATATATTCAAAGTTGTTCCCAACAACCCTATCATTTAATGAAGCATATCATATATAATCTTGTTCCCAACCACAAAACAAGCTATAAAATACATTAGGGGTAGGAAGAGAAGACGAGTCGAAGGAAGAGAAGATAGAGGTATTTCTCGATTATGTATAGTCTTAATTCTAACCACAAATCAACTATATTTTTGAATCAATTATAGAAAAGAATTATAGTTTAGAGAACTTACTAACTGCTCGTGCTTGTTATGAGACTATGAGAGGAAGAGAGCGTTCCTGTTCTTCTATCTATCTCATCCACTGCTTTGCTTCACTAAACTTCAACTTTTCTTTTTTCTTTCAATGGGGAGCAATATTGTCATTTCCTTATAAAATTTAATATTAAATCAGTATCCTAACTTGTAGTGATATGTAAAAAATTTAAGGGCTTTCTTTATTAATAAGTTTAGTCCAAGGATCTTTAGTGAATTTTTTCCCAAAAAGAAAAGAAAAAAAGAAATGTTGTTCAATATCAAAATGGAGGCCACCGTTATGCATATAAACAAGGGAAAAATTCAATTAAGGACCAATGATGTAATTTAATTATTAGTGGATCCCAAAAAAATATGAAAGTTTTATTTAATCCAGGAGGATTGAAGTGGAAATAATTTTAATGATGAAAAGATCAAAATAGCTTCACTTGTGAATTTTGTTTAAGATGTAGAATTATTAATTATTAATTTTCTTATTTCACTTGTTAATTTACTAATATAAGTTGTAAATTATATCAATTTATTTGACAAGTAGCAACATCAGTTGTTAATTTGCTAGCTTTACTTGTTAATTTATTAACATCAGTTATAAATTATTGATAGGTCTTATAATTTACAACTGATATTAATAAATTAAAGAATAAAGTTAGCAATTTAATAATTGATATTGCTGATTGTGATCGAACAATTGATATTCAAATTTTGTATAATTTTTTATAAGCCAATTCATGTAATTTACAATCTATATTAATAAATTAATAAATAAAGTAAAAAATTAATAACTAATAATTTTGTATCTCAAATAAAATTAACAAGTAAAAAATATTTTTATCTTTATATTATTAAAATTATTTTCATGTAAGCCTTCTTAAATTAAATTAAAACTTTAAATATTTTTTAAATTTATTAATAATTAAATTACATCCTTTAATTGAAACTATCCCAGAAACGATCTGTCCATTTCGGAGGATTTTGTCTCTTCAACATAGACTCGTTATTTACCTATCTCTTCAGTTTCCAACTCTATCATCACAGTACATTCGGTTCATCTCATTTTCTAAATCTGAATCAAATACCTCATGTTTTTCTCACAATTTCCATGAACTCCGAAATCAGTCCTTTTAAATTTTTTCGTTAACGCAATGGCTGTTGCAGCCTTCAAATCCTCCTCTGGGAGAGGCAATTTAACAACTTCTTCAGGTACCGTAGCTTCTGCGAGAGAATCCAGAGAAAAAGCGCGAAAGAAAGCTCCAATTCGAAGATCAAGGAGTGTAAGTGCTTTCCAAGATCTAGCTTGGATATATCTACTGAGTTTGTGAACAAGAGGGATAATCCTTTGTTTTTGAGCTGTGCGTTATCTCGGGAAGGTCAAAACGAATCCGTGGAAAATGCTGGAACTGCTAAACTAGACGAAACTACAACTACGACCTTGGATCCTGCTAGTGCGAAGTCTACAGATTCTGATGGTAGATATGGTAGGAGAGGGAGATCCGTGATGAGAGATAATGCATTGAACTGTGAGGGGCCGATGATGGGTCGGAAGGAAACGGTTCGGAGTTTGTCCAGAGTGGACAATGGCCGTCGTAATCGTTCGGCTTCAGAAGTTCCGGTTTCTAGACGACATTATTCCACTTCTGAGGTCTGAAATTCTCTTTAAGGAAAATTCTATTTTGGAGCCATATATGCAGGCAAACTTTCGATTCGGACCTCCATATCATTTATTCATTTCAAATTAGTCTCCAGGCATTAATATGCGTGAAATGTAGTGTGTATTTTCATATGTTCATTCAAAATTTAGCGCCAAATTTAATAGTTGAAATTTGGATGCCAAGAGGTCATCACTTCTATATTCTGTGCTAAATTCTGGATGAAAATACGTGCGTAGGGCAATGTTGTAAGTATTTTAGTGATTGATAAACCAAATTAAAAGAAAGTCTATGTGGAGACCAGAGTGATAATTCACCTGTCTGTCAAGATCAGAATGAGTTTTCTCCCTCTCTCTTTCCGTAGTTGTACCATGAGAATGCTTTTGCTTTATGGGGAAAGATTAAACATATTGCATTTGTTGGATTTACAGAGCGAAGCTGAGCAAGATTGCAGCATAATAAAATCTAAAGATGGAAGCAATTTAAAGTTTTTGGGGAGTAATGGGAAAGGTGATTTGTCCAGAAGCAACAATGGTGTAATGGAACAAACGAAAAAATTGCAGGCTTGGTCTAGCCAGGATTCCTCTTTTGTGGCTTCTGTTAATTCAGCTGTGATTTCGGTAAGTACCCAATTGATCTCGGGAACTTCGACAACAAATCTTAGGTATTTTTTTTTTTTTTTATCTAGTTTAGTTTACCCATCAAAATATAACATTTGGACAAATTGTTTTTGAAAGACTTTGTCATGTTAAATAAAATCCTTCATCTGTCATGTTTTATTAGAAAACCTTCTCTTATTAAAATATCTAAAAATTTTAACTTTTCTCTTTGGTCTAATTGCTACGTGTGTTTGCTTTACTTAATAACTTTTTTCCCCCTTTGGATACAATTGTGCTTCTTCCCCAGTCTCGTTTGCATAAACCAAACTGTGAGGATGCAGTTTCAACAGCAAATTCAGTTTGGGATTCTGAAGAGAAAACTATCAAAGCAGTTTGTGAACAAATGAAGGTGAGTTCTTGACAGTCCAATGGTATATGTCATGGTACACATATGCACTTTTGTACTTAATAGCAGAAATACTGGATGTCATGGCTTATTGGAATGAATTTTGGTGTTTTACTAGTAGGAAACCTTAATGCTTCTACATTAGCAAGTTTTCTTGATGGCAACTGAAAGTTCTTAGTATAACTTATGAAATTTTCGTTCTCTGCAGTCAGCACCACCAGATATATTGGAAGCTAGTGATATATATGAAACAGTTCGTTCTGAAGTGAGGCATGCTATTTTTGAGATTCAGAATGACCTTGAGAGTGTAAGTTTGCTGACCATTTGGCCTCATCTTTGGCTTATCCAAATCTAAGGCTTCTGGTTATTTTTGAATGAATTGCCCAAGCTATGCTGATTCATTAGAAAAGCAACATCTTATTGCCATTGTGACATGATTGATTCTGCATGGTAGCCAATATAGCCCACAAATAACCTGTTAAAGTGTATCTTGTGGCTTCTTCACTCTCAGTCTTTGTTTTACTTACATTTTTTCTCTCTTATCTCTCTCTCTTGTAAATACCAATTGGAAACTGATTTCTAGAAGCCTCATTGGGCCCGACTAATTGAGATCGGGCCTCTCTCATCTCTCAATGTTTGATATATTGGAGCCAATTATATACCTTAACTTTATAACCGGTGCTCCAAATATGGGTAAACACCAACATGAATGACTAGCTGCCTGGCCAAATTGTACTGGACCAATTTAGTAAGAACAAGGTCCAGGGCTACATAATATCCTTAAATACATTGTATTTAGTAAGAAAAAAAATGACCTAATAAAAAGAATTTTTTTTTTTCAGGTGCCGTTATATTTTGAGTAAAAAATCCTTAAATACATTTTACAAATTATAAATAAATGGGGAGTCATTACCATTGCTAGACCCCTCTTCAGTATGATTATCATGTTTAGATGAGAGAAGGCAAGATGAAAAACGTGTAATTCTAGAGTTAGAAGCAAGAAAGATGAAAATTTTGATAGTAAATGCATTTTTTTAAGACTAACAGGTTCCATAGCCTTCTGAAGGTTCGCTCCCTGCTTGCAATTTCTTTGTGTTTTCTCCTCTCATGCATAGAAATGTATAAGTGTTGACTATCTGCCCAACATTGAACTTGGTAACGTGAGAAGGTTCATAACTGAAAAATAAGATAGTTTAGGGCATCAAGCTGTTGACAATGGCTGGTTTGATCCCCTTCCATACGGATCCCAGATGAGGAAATCCTAAGTGCTCTTTTTAGTTCAAAGAATCATAAGGAATGTAATGGAATGTATATATTTGTTAGTTTCCACTGTATATATTTGTAAAGATGTACCAAAATGAGTGGTCATAAATTCAAAATGGCCAAATAGTTTAAAAAATGTAAGCTTTTAAAGTTTTGAAATTATTCAAAAAGAAAAAGCTCAGTTAGGCTTGGCCTGGCTGTAGACTTGTTCAGACCAAGACCACAGACTTGATCTTTTACACCTAGTTCATACTTAGTCAGGCATAGCTTGAGTTGGAACCTAGCCTATCCTATCCTGTCTTGTGTGCAACCCCTTTCTTCATTACCTATGAAACTGATGTCTACAATTATGAAACATTACCAATTACATTGCCGAGAGGTGGTAATGCACGTAGTGTCTCTCTTGATTTTTGAAGGAAAGTCAGAGTCAAATTAGAGGTTAACTGTATGGGTTAACTTTTTTCAATATGGTAGATTGTAACACAAAACAGAATGTGACAATTCATTCTTTGGATATAAATTAGGGAAAATTATGTACAAGTCCCAAATAAGGGATTTATTTACTAATAAGTGTCGCGAATTTGTAAAAATACAGCCAAGTACTCCCTTGGGACATGGTTGTAATTTGCCATAGGTGTGAAAAGACCATAATGCCCCAACTTCTAATTTAGTTGTAAATTATGAAATTTCAGTTATAAATTACAATATTTCAGTGTCTAATTTGTGAGGACTAGTTGTAAACATAAGCCCAGAAAAAAAAAAGTCATTCTCCTCATATTTATAACTGAATATCTTAATATACAATTGAAATCAACTGAATAGATATGAAGTGAGGACAGTGTGGTTATTTCCCACCCATGACAAATTACAACTAGTTACCAAGAGACTTGGTTGTATTTTGTAAATTCATGGGACTTATTTGTCAATGAGAGGGCTTATATGTAATTGTCAAATTATTTGATTCTTGTTATTTGAGGAAAATGTCTCTTGATTTAGATCATGGTCCACGTTCGAAAGACAGAAAAATGCTATAGAAATGCTTGACTTTTATAGCTTCTTTTTTGTATAGGTAGTTTTGTATGTACTTCAAAATTTCTGGTTCTTCAGTTACTAATTGATTGGTTCCAATTGATCAATTCAGCTGTGAAATTCTACTTTCCTGACTGTGGAAGGCTAATCTCTTTAACTTTTTTCTGAGTTTAGGCTATCCGAAGTAGTAATGCTACTGCTATGTCTATTATAACCGCGGCTGATATTCCTCCTGACTTGGTAAACCCTGGTGCGGTGGAGTTGGTTTTGGATGTTAGAAGAAAGTATGCCAAGAAGCTTGAAGAGGTGATTTTCAATTTTTTTTTTGCACCAGTAGCTGGAGTACTTGTTACAACTTTTGCTTTTGTCAGATTTTTGTTCTATTTCTTAGTATATTGACATCTTGTAGTGGAGGATGTGCTTGTTTGCTTTAATAAAGCAAATCTGGGGACCAGGATAAAAGACTTATCTCCCTCCCCATAAAAGTTTAGTTTTTTTTTTTTTCTAAATATATTTAGTTCTGACGAGTTGTGTGCTCACCAGGACCTTTTCTACAGTCTTATTGAAAGATATGCCGCTGTTGAATGATTTTATTCTTTTCATATTCTGTTTGCTATGTTTTCATAATTCTCTTCACTCTACCTTCAAATTGCGCTCCTTGAAGTCAACCTTGTAATGAACATGCAGTCCCAGGAGCGGGCTAGAAAACTTCAGGCTGACCTGGCTGTAGAGGAGCACCGTACACAAGAACTGGATAGAATCTTGAAAGAAGTTCTTCCATATCCGAAGACCCCAAATGTGCAGAAGTCTCGTTCATCAAGAAAAGTAACATTCGTTAGCCTTTTTGTTGTCTAGGTCATCTATTCCCCCCCCCCTTTTTTTTCATGGCCAAAGCTGTCTTGTTTAGCTTATTGCGATGGCTATGTCATGTGCATAATTGCTTATCAAAAAAGATATAGCATGCATCTTTCTGTGCATAAACATTGACCATATTGTGTACACTATCCACCACTGTGAAGGCATTTGTGTGGTCGGGCTACTAGTTAAAATCATCGTGTTCCTAATCATTATTCTGAAATATAATGTTCCAAATCACACGAATATTGGCAGAGGATCCTCTCCTTTTCCCTTTTCTACCATCAAATCAAAATTTTAATGGTTGAGATTTAAAATTTTATAAAACTATTATTATAATTTTTTATAAAAAAATGCACAAGTAATTTTATTTATACTTGATCTTAACAGTTTACAATTGTCTATTAAAATATTTTATTGAGTAATTTTTTTTCCCTTTTTTCTACTGCAATTTTAAACTGTTTAGGTCAAATTTTAACGGTTTAAATTTATTTATGTATTTCTTATGTAAAATTATAATAATAATTTTATAAAATATTAAATCTCAACTGTTCAAATTTTAATCCAATGGTTACAATGGGAAGAAGAGAGGAAGAGGAGAGAAAGTTAAAGGAGAGAATACTCTCCAAGCTTCCAGTAACTTGTACATATTATAACTGGAGTGCACACCATTGCAGCACCTGCTTTAATGCTGAGGATGTCAATATTTCCCTAATTGGTTTATTCTTAAATGTGAAGATAGCATACGTGTGAAGAAAGCTCACAATTCAAATTTAATTCATCTAATCACTTGGGTTTGGTAAAATGTCTACTGACTGCCATAGATATTAGAAATTTTTTGCTTTTTACCTTTCTTGTTTTAGGTTGCCTATTTCTGACTTTCTTTCCTTGTGAATGAGGATTCATGCACTTGTTCAAAAAAAAAAAAAAAAGGAAAGAAAAGAAGAAATTTAATGCTTACCAACTATGCAGATATCCTATATTTTCTAGGTTTACCTGTTCCGTTGTTAGTTATCCAAACTGTGCTCACAGGCTAGCATTGAAAGAAGAAAGATGTCAAAACGTCTTGCTGAAGATGCCATGGCTTATTTTGATGAGTGTGTATCGTTATCCCCATTTGATAGTTCTGATTTTTCATCACAAGAAGATGCACCACTCAATTTATTTGAGTCTCCTATTGTGTCCGACAGACAATTACCTGAGGTCAGTTAAGTGCTTTAATTTCCAATTTTCATTAATAGGTCCAACAGGCTCATGACTAATTGTAATCTCAAACACTTTATTTTGTGAAAATGACGATGATAAATTTGCTGTAGTCATGCCTCATAAAATGCTTTTCCATGCGCGCGCGCGCAATTGTCTCGTTATTTATTTATTTGCATAAGAAGAAAAGCGTGGAAATGGGATCCAGTTTGGAACTGAGTGATAACTTCATGGCTGCTCTTTTTTTTTTTTTTTTGAAAAAAAAAATTCTTCTCTTTTTTGGATTTACATTCATGAGCTGCTCTTGATTTAGCTATTTTTCATTTGGTTGAACCAAGTGTGTGCAAGACAGGTTGGAAGGTTTAGGGGATTTTGAAGTTCCAAGGCTGATACATGTAGTACTTTTGTTGGCCTCTATGCTTAAAAGAAATAAAGAAATACTGGAACTAAATTTTTCAGAAAATAATTTTGTTATCTTCACAGGGGTTCTATTATCCGGAACAATCCATAAATAATCATAGTGGAATTTCACAACCAAATCAAGGCATTAATAGCATGGCATCTGTACAAGATCAACTTAGTCCAAGTGGTTCCAAATTCCAGTTCTCCTTTGCAAAGAAGCCGTCTGAAACCTCTGAACTTCATCAAGGCATTGAACAATACATCAAGAACTTGGACAAAAATGTGATCAAGTTATCCAATGTAAGATCATCAAATTACCATAACATTGACAAGTATGATTGCAATTCTTCTGCGGAGGATTTGTTGATTGATAGTGTATTGATGAAAAATAGAATAGAATCAGGTAGTTTGTTACTTTGTGGCGGCGGTACTTTCTTTAACTATTGTGGTATAGGAATTTAATAGGAAAACATTGTTCTATCGGTATGATGTAATTTTTCAAGCTTGTTTTAGTTTTTTTTTTTTTTGGGTAACCAATAGAAATTTAAATGTATAATCTGCTCAAATAACATGGCTTCTCTTGTTTGATCTACACTTCATCCAGCAAATTTTAAATATAATTATCACCTCGAGCTGAAGTTTTTATATGGAATTCTTGTTCCTTTTTTTTTTTCCCCTTTTGGGAGAATGATAAAAAGGTCCTTTTTTTCCAAAATGATCAATTAATTTAAGTTTGATCTTAAGTATCAAATTTTAAAAATTTATAACTTAATTTTTTAATTTTACAATTGTGTTATGATGGTTTTGCAACTTATTTTTTAAATTTTAACATAGTTAAAGAATTAAAAAAATTATTTTTCTTGGTAAAATTTAGAATACAAATTGTAAATTTATCGTAATAAAATTATAAAATTGAAAGATTGAGTTGTTAATTTTTAAAATTTGACATTTAGGATCTAACTTGAATTAATAGGTCCTTTTGAGACCCCCCCTCTCTCTCTAAAGAGTTAGGGTTTTAGGTTTGGTTTGGATGGAGGGAGAAGTGAAAAGAAAAGAGGGAGGAGAGAAAAATAGAAGTTTCCAAAAATGGTAATTTTTTTAAAAGTATATTTAGGAGTTTTTCTAAACTTTTTATGATGGTGGGGGTTTGTCTAATAACTTGAAGGATTTAGTAACTTTTAAAGAAAAATAAAATTTGTCATTCTATTGAAGGATAAGTGATTGGAAGATAAAAAAGCTCTTAAAAAAATGGCAAATTATAGAGTTAATGAATCTGATTGTATCCCTATTGAAGTGTGAAAATGTTTGGGTGAAGAAGGGGTATGATAATTAACTAAATTATTTAATGAGATTTTACAATCCAAAAAAAAATATCTGATGATTGAAGGAGAAGCACCTTAGTTTGCATTTACAAAAATAAAGGAGATATTTAGAATTATGCTAACTATAGAGGGGTTAAACTTATGAGTCATACAATAAAATTGTAAGAAAGAGCGTTTGAGGATAGGTTGAAATTGAAAACTGGTATTTTTGAGAATCAGTTTGGCTTCACGCCAGGAAGGGCAACTATAGAAGATCTACTAAGGGAATTAATGAAAAAATATATATACAAAGGTAAAAATTTACATATGGTTTTGATTGATTTGAAAAAAAAAATTATAATCATGTATCGAGAGAAATACTTTAAAAAGCTTTGGAAAAGAAGGGTGTCCGAATTATCCATATTCGAGCTATACAAGATATGTATGAGGGGGTAATAACTAATATAAAAAAGTCTGACAGTGAAACAAAAGACTTTCCTATAAAGATTGGATAGTATTAGGAATCATCTTTGAGTTCTTATTTGTTTGATCTAATCTTAGATATTTTGATTGAACATATTCAAGAGAAAATCCTCAAACGCATGCTTTTCGCGAATAATATAGTTTTTATTCTAGATACAAGAGAAGAGATTAACAGTAAATTTGAGTTATGAAGGAGGATATTGGAGTCAAAAGATTTTTGTTTGAGTAGGAGTAAGACAGAATATTTATATAGTAATTTTGATAAGAAGCCAATGAGTAGAAATTTGGAAGTGAAATTGTGTGACCAAATTATATCTTAAGTGAAAAAGGTTATATATTTGGGAGCTATTATTCAACAAAATAAGAAGATTGATGGAGATATTGCACATAGGATATAAGCTGGATAGTTTAATTAAGAAAAGGCTAAATGAGTCATTTGTAATTGTAACATACCAAATTTTTTATTTCTACATTAACACTAATTAGAAATTAAATTAATGATTTAATGTGAGATTAGTATTTTGGATAATGAAGTGTTATATTGACTCTTTTGGGATGTTGTATGAACAAATATGGGAGGAAAAATGAGGTCCTGTGGTAGAGCGTGTGAGTATAATGAGGATTTTCTTTACTGTACCATGCGCCGCAACAGAGGATGGATGTGCCGTGGCACATGATGTAGAACTTTGATAAATGGCTTTGTGGAATGGCTCATGAAATAGAAGAAAGAAAAAGGAAAAGAGGTTCACACGTGGAGAAGAGAAGGGACCTCTGTCAAGTGATTCTAGGAGAAAGGGTGACGTTTTTGACCTATTACTTATCAGGTAAGTCTCGTACTGCCTTAACCTCCAATTCTACCATGTTTTCTCTTAGTTTTAACTAGTGAGAAATTAAATTTGAAAGTTTTAAAGAATTAATTTCTTACCCTATACTAATAGAAAAGTCTTTTGGGACTAAACTAGTGTTTTGTGTGTAATGTTCTCCTTGACATTACCAACATTCACCACAAAATTACAACAATAATGATAATTAGGAGCAAGGATTGCTCCTAAGCTCACATTAAATATAAAAGGGTTAAAACTAATGATCTTTTAGAAATAATTTTGAAATATTTGAAATCCTATAAAAACCCTTCAAATAAGTAGTTTGAGCTCAAAATTAATAATTTATAAGGATATGGGAAGCATGAAAAAGTTTTGGGAAGCAAAACACTTGAAAATAGGGTCAAAATGTCATTTTTAAGTATTTTTATATATGCGCCGTAGCTCGTGGTTCATACACCACAGCATGTGGTACAGAGAGGGTAATTTAGCCACTGCACCATGCACCACGACTCGCGTGCAATGTGCCGTGGCGCATGTGTCCCTGTTATGACAGCAAAAATATTGTCATAATAGCCTTCTAGGACGAATTTCAAACGTGCGTCATTTTCTCATTTAATATCTAATTGGAATGATTCAAGTACCCACGTGAAACTTGTTCAATAAGTAATTAATGGTACAAGTTTCGTTATAATCCGACACCGCATGAGAACTTTAGACAGTCATATGTAAAAGTTAGTTTTTAAAATGATTTTCAAACATCCAAGTACCCAAAACTTAAAACTTATACCATTAATTCATTTTGAGGCTTGAACTAAGTTTAATAGACTAAAATATACCTGATTGAGCATTTAAATACACAAAAACATGCCAAATATAAAATTTGGCCACTTAATGCCAATTTCACCCAATATGGCCAAAACACAAAATCAATACTACATACACCATTTGGCCTCTATTATCACATAATACATCACATATACATTATCACCACATGTATACAACATTCCTTGTACTCGTATTAGAATTTTAGCCCATCACCACATAAGCCACCACATATTCACATCATATACAACATTGGGTTAAAATATAAAATAACATAATATAATACAAGTGCAATCAATCAAAATGATATGCATTCCTAGTTGGCAACTTATGTTATCATCTATGTAAGTCTACGTACACAACTTAAAATAAAATTTGGCATTACAATTGTAAGGTAGTAAGTACGTTAGCCTTTGCCTAATTCCTTCCCTTACTCAAACTCAGTGGTAGAACCTATAAAATGATAACCACGGGTGAGATAAAAATCTCAGTAATTAAGATAATTTACAATATCGATTAATATGTCAAGTTATATACAAGCTTTAAAACATGTATAACAAACACAAGATATACAACTTTTCACAATAAAATTCATGATCGCTAATCATCTAATCTTCTAATACTTGTGACTGAACTAGTAGGCTATTTCACGGAACTAAATCATATATATGGTCCCCAAGTTCACCATCCATGGTAGGACTACCATGCCAAGGTTTCCTAAACTACTTCAGCACTACAGGTTTCCCCTATTACAAGTACTTGGGGTGTCATTACTCCAACACCGCATCCTACAAATACTAAGGAACATAATCCATAACTCCGCATCCTTTTGGGTACTAAGGAGAGTAAGTCTCTAACACCGCACCCTTTTTTGAGTATTAAGGAGAAATACGAGCTACACTTGGTGTCCAAAGGTACCAGTAATACCATAGGACTTAATCTCTACTAATTCCACTAGGGTGACCTCCTACCCTCTAACATGTCGTACTTCACTATACATCTCCACTTGATCATGCATAAACCACTGTTTAAGCAAATATAATAATTCTTACTACTTACTCCAAAAATATGAAATTTCACAAATCAATACTCCACTCATTTTCTAAAATGGTTAGCTTTTGCAAAACTTATATATATATACATAACAAATCATATAAGAACAATTGAGAATAACTTATACAAGGTAATAAATAATGTAAAATATCTAGTTACCTTAACTCTTTTGTTACTAAAATGAGTTACCTATTGTACTAAATCTCTTGTATCAAGGCAAATTTTCCCATACCACAATCTACATTAACAAATATTATATGTTAATTTTCAATTAATACAAGCACCATTAGCTATCAATAACATCTCAATTCTCCCACTTCTCACTTATATTCTCAACAAAGAGGCTTTTAAGATTACACTTTGTCCACACATTCCCCCTAAGCCTCCCTTTAACCCTATCACAACATAACACTTAATATCTCAAATTGTCTCACTTCAAAACCTCATAATCAAGCTAGGGCTTGATCCAACTTTCACCAAACAATAAAGTAACTTCATATTACAACTTATTTAAGGTTAAAAAACTTAAATCAAACCTTTAGAGTCAATTGAAATATTTAAAACATAGACCCATAGTTTAATCCATTCAAAGTAAATTCACCTAGTTCCAAATTCCATGGAAAATGAGGTAAAAAGGTAGAGGAGAAGGGTGAAAAACTTACTCAAGAGTTTAAAGGCCCAAATTATCTTAAAATCCTCCCAAAATGAAGCCATAACAGTGCCCAAAGCCTTTCCCTTCATGTTCTAGGGTTTCTTCCATAAAAATTGCCTTTTTCTGATGATTTTTGAAATTTAACTTGTCTAGTTGTGCCATGTACCATAGCGCACGCCACCCAAGCCATGACTCACAATGCGACAAATAAAAAGTCATTTTTGCTCCCCCCGATATCACCCGATTCGATCCAACTTCCATCCTAGCTAAATATGACCCAAGGATTCAATTAGCAATCCAAAAATATAATTAAATTAATTAACTATTTTTAACTAATTATCCTTAATTAATAATTTATTCCATATTTAAAATTTTTAGATTTTACATTGTGACTGGGTTAAGTCGAAATAATAAAACTTTGACTCGGTAGGCATGTTTTGACATAATCTAGAGAGAGTAGTGAGAGAGAATGTGTTTGTGAGGGAGTTAAAGCTTGTTTTGAGGGATAATCGATTGT